GTACAAGTACATTTGTATTCATTTGTAAAAATAACACTGAAGAAGAAATGTATTACAGACACAGATCTGTATTTTACTATTTATATGAACAGCATCGTGAAGTCTGCTCACCCCCCCCCCCCCTCCTTCCCCTGCAGTGAACAGTAGATAAAAACTTGATTTGCTCGGTATGAAATTTTCTATATTTTAATTAACATTTTGTTGGATGTGTTCAACAAACAAAGGAGTCTTAGTGGGGAAGGCAACCGCGAACGTTTGTTCTATCACCTACCTGATTTTTCAAAAGACATCTTTGAATGACTTTTCCTATGGATATAATAGACTTTTTTACGAACTTTCAAAAACTATAATTATTTGGAAAAAAGAAAAGGTTTCTCTTTAATTCTGATGAAACGTGTATTTCCGCTCTAGAACTCGATGGGAATGTAAAATCTTAATTTAAAATGAAAACCTGCAGGCATGCTTATGAAGCTATCTTAGGACTAAGACATCTCTTAAGACGAACTTACGACATGTCTTAGTCTTAAGTGAGGCCATCGAAGCTACCCTATCTTAGGAGACCTCCTAATCTTAGTCCTAACTTTAAAATGACTGCGGACATGTCTTAAGTCATATCTTAGGTGATTTTAAGAAACGTTGGTGTCAGGAAAACAATTAAGAATGTTTTTTGTGTAAATAAATCAACTATTTACTGTAAATTAATGATTTCTTTAATGTACTAAATCAATTTATGAACATCATACCGTGTGAATATATGTATATACCTGTACAAATAGAAATGGAGAGAACAGTTAATAAAAATGCACTCATTAATTGACATGTATGCATTTGAATATTAAATCATTGAAAAAGATTTATTCAAGCCCTTTCGAAATAGATAAAAATATACAATTGATTGTTTTTATTGGGACAAAAACGGAGGGATGGGGGGGGGGATACATTCAAAAGATCTAAACCAATCTGCTGCATTTATTGGTTTAAGCCGATGTAAATAATAAAAACAGCAGAGAAACAACACATATTCAAAAAATTAAAGAAAGTTTATAGAGGTGACTTCCTCTTCATGGAGGAGAGAGAGAGAGAGAGAGAGAGAGAGAGAGAGAGAGAGTCTGTTGATCAACTTGGACAAAGAACAAGAAAAGATGTTACATGTATGCCTTATATCTTTTCTAAAATACTTATCCAATAATACAAACAACTATGAAAAGAAAAGTTACTTGTGTATTGTCATGTAGCTCCGCTTTTCTGTTTCTGCTAAATGTAAACTAGATTGTACACAAATAACTCTATTATATTACTCTCTTTTTTTTTTTACACAAAACTTGGATAAAAATGGACTAATCTGCTAAAGATATATGTATGCAATAGAAATCGATGAAAATGAATTTAAAAAAAAATACTTAAACATATCAGTCTTAAATTCAAACATGCTTCTAAAAAAAGGAATAGGGATACACCCAATAAAGAAGTACTAACTCAGAAATGTTCTTAATAAATAAGGAAAATAAAAACTTTAATCGCCTCCAAACCTGATTTTTTTTTTTTTGGGGGGGGTCACATATATGATTATACAAAACATGTATTCGCATATGGTTTTAGATGCTAGATTTGCTCGCATACTCGCTAGTAGCTACACTAAGGGTAGCGAGTATGCGAGTGGATCAAAATTTAATTCGATTGTTTTATTAAATTCTAATTAAATAACTAAGGGGGAGCTAACACCCCCGCCCCTTCTAGATCTACACATGATAGTAACTTGAAATAGGAAGTTCAGTAATTGCAACCCGGAACGTTTATTATGAGCATAATTTTTGGTTCCGGGCTAACTTAGCTTTGTAACAAAATGGAAAAGAAACAACTTAGTAGCAAAAATATATGAAATATCTTTCAGTAATTACATCCCGGAACGTTAATCATGACCATGATTCTTGGTTCCGGGCTAACTTGGCTTTGTCAAAAACTGGAAAACAAACAACTAAGTAGCAAAAATATATGAAATATCTTTCAGTAATTGCAACCCCGAACGTTTATTATGAGCATAATTTTTTGGTTCCGGGCTAACTTAGCTTCCTCAAAAGCTGGAAATGAAACAACTACATGTAAGTAGCAAATACATATGAAATATCTTTCAGTAATTGCAACCCGGAACGTTTATTATGACCATAATTTTTGGTTCCGGGCTAACTTGGCTTCGTCAAAAATTGGAAAACAAACAACTAAGTAGCTAAAATATATGAAATATCTTTCAGTAATTGCAACCCGGAACGTTTATTATTACCATAATTTTTGGTTCCGGGCTAACTTGGCTTCGTCAAAAATTGGAAAACAAACAACTAAGTAGCTAAAATATATGAAATATCTTTCAGTAATTACATCCCGGAACGTTAATCATGACCATGATTCTTGGTTCCGGGCTAACTTGGCTTTGTCAAAAACTGGAAAACAAACAACTAAGTAGCAAAAATATATGAAATATCTTTCAGTAATTGCAACCCCGAACGTTTATTATGAGCATAATTTTTTGGTTCCGGGCTAACTTAGCTTCCTCAAAAGCTGGAAATGAAACAACTACATGTAAGTAGCAAATACATATGAAATATCTTTCAGTAATTGCAACCCGGAACGTTTATTATGACCATAATTTTTGGTTCCGGGCTAACTTAGCTTCGTCAAAAATTGGAAAACAAACAACTAAGAAGCTATAAAATATGAAATATCTTTCAGTAATTGCAACCCGGAACGTTTATTATTACCATAATTTTTGGTTCCGGGCTAACTTGGCTTCGTCAAAAATTGGAAAACAAACAACTAAGTAGCTAAAATATATGAAATATCTTTCAGTAATTGCAACCCAGAACGTTTATTATGAGCATAATTTTTGGTTCCGGGCTAACTTAGCTTCGTAACAAAATGGAAAAGAAACAACTAAGTAGCAAAAAATATGAAATATCTATCAGTAATTGCATCCCGGAACGTTAATCATGACCATGATTCTTGGTTCCGGGCAAACTTGGCTTTGTCAAACACGGGGGAAAAACAACTAAGTTGCAAAAATATATGAAATATGTTTTATATTCATCAGAGACAGGGGGGAAAGTACAGAAAGGACATTACATGTCATTTATTTTAATAGAATAGTTTTTTTTTAATTGCATGAGATTTAAAGATACTTTTTCCTCTATATCGTAAAAAATAGTTATTGCATATAAAGTAGAGTAGTGTTTGTTAAACGCAGACAATTGGGAACGTTCTGGGTCATGAACGTCGTCAAACAAGGTGTATTCTCTACTGTCTAAAATGTAAGGTGATCTTTTAACTAATTTAATTTTGACTAAAATTTGAATCTGCTAAAGAAAACGGACAGTAGTGAATTTAAATAATTCCCTTAGTCAAGAGTGATTTTTCAGTATAAAGATATATTTATTAGGATGTTAATAGCCTCATGTGAAGCAGAATAAGGGATCATGACGTTATGAGAGACGTAAATTACGCTTGCTTTCGTGCGCCGATGTGCACTTACATGGTTTCTTTATTTTTTCAAAGTTTTCTTATTTAACGTGGTATCGTCATGAAACTTGAAATGCTATGACATACTTGACATACATGCTATGCTATATTACTTTTTGCTATGACAAGAAAAGAAATTTGATTTAGCAAAGAAAAAATAAACTATGTTCCCTGTCTACGACTTTTTGGAACAACCCTCGTATATAGTTTTTTGTAAACATGGCACTTTTACTTTGAATTTTCTGGATTATAGCTTTAATATTTTTCAAGACCGAACGCGTTAAAGGTGCATGGACACAGATTTGAAGTTTATATTTTCTATATAATATTACGGCTTATATATTTTAATGGCATTTTACACAAAGATATATTAAAAATCTTATTTCATATAAAAGTTATTAAAACTTCAAAAATTTTTGACGGGTTTGATTGACATATCCTTGCACTTCACAAATTTTAATTCTATTCTTAATACTTAGGAAAAATGGCAATCTTGGTTGTGTATAAATGAAAAAATATTAAGACTATGATCCAGAAAATTCAGAATAGAAATGTTCGAAAGCAAAACATACACACAGTATATTGTCAGTCCGTGCAGTTGTGGTGAGCAGACTTTAACAATTGAACACTCCCGGTGAATCCTAAACATTAACAATAACAGAGCTCGTGCCCTGTTACAAAAACTGTGTAAGTTCCACGGGTGTGTTCAATTTGCTAAACTCTGTATATAACACTAAGTGCGGAATGACGATACATGTGACGTGGTTTTGCATTCGAACATTTCTACACTGAATATAATTTTTTTTCTGGATTAAAGTTTTAATATTTTTCATAAGTACACAACAAGATTGCCACTTTTTCTAAGTATTAAGAATAAATTTTAAATTTGTGAAAGTGCAAGGATGGTCAATCAAACCCATCCAAAAATTTGAAGTTTTAATAACTTTTATATGAAATAAGATTTTTAATATATTTTCCTGTGAAATGCTCTTACAATATATAAGCCGTAATATTATATAGAAAATATAAACTTCAAATCTGTGTCCATGCACCTTTAACGTGTTCGGTCTTGAAAAATATTAAAGCTATAATCCAGAAAATTCAAAGTAAAAGTGTTCAAAAGCAAAACATACACACAGTATATTGTCAGTCCGTGCAGTTGTGGTGAGCAGACTTTAACAATTGAACACTCCCGGTGAATCCTAAACATTAACAATAACAGAGCTCGTGCCCTGTTACAAAAACTGTGTACGTTCCACGGGTGTGTTCAATTTGCTAAACTCTGTATATAACACTAAGTGCGGAATGAAAGTGCAAGGATGTGTCAATCAAACCCATCCAAAAATTTGAAGTCTCAAAAACTTTTAAATGAAATAAGATTTTTCATATATTTTTCTGTGAAATGCTCTTACAATATATAAGTCGTGATATTATACATAAAATATTAAATTCAAATCTGTGTTTATGCACCTTTAAGCACAAAAACTAAATACCTTGCGTGTATACTGGAGGCTGATAACAGGTGGTAAGTTGTCCTTTCACTGTATTTTTAATGTTTATTAAGTTGTTATAAAAATTTATATTTGTATATTTGGAGTTATCCCCACAGGAACCAACAGTCTCCTTGTAAGTCGTAGCGTAACTTGTCCCAATATCTAAAATAGTTAAAATGAAAATGTTATTTCGGATAACATGATCTTTTTTGAACCTGTGAGAAAAAAAAACAGATTATGTATCACATATTAATAAATTTAACGGATATTGACTTACGAACGCCAAATATGATATTGTCCCCACTGCTTCTAATAATCCTTGCTGTTGTGATTGGATCACTGTAATATGGCCCAACGATAAAGACATAATAGTTAACAGCATCCGCGCGATCTCCACCAGCAGCCGTAAAGACATAGTCACGAGCATGAATTAATCCCTTATCTACATAATGAGTGTTGCTAGACGTCTCTGAAATTCCTTCAATTGCCCTTTTGACGGCCTCGGAGCTGGTATGAGCAGTAAGTCCAAACTCTGTTCTTGCTCCGCTATCAAATACCACAAAACCTACCCTGACGCCAGTTGAAGAAATCGGTAGATCCTCGACTAACTCAGCCACAAATCTTTTTATGAAGCGAAGGTTAAAATTTTCAACGATGAAAACTATGTCAAGCTTGCAAGCTGAAAATAGACAAAACACATATGATTGAAAATTTCCTAAATCTTTGCAGTCATATAGTTTAATTTTTAATTCAAGCTTGACAAATACTAGCTGAAAAATAAAACCTCATTTATCTAATATATTTAGAAAGGACATAAGATGGTTATTCTAATGAAAAAAATATGTCTACTTAGCTACGAGTTATAGCAGAATAAATATTTTGGTAAGATATAATATACATATTATAGCACCATATGACACCCAGACATACCTACTGACGTAGGACCAGGAAAAGCAGACGTTGGACAGACAGCGATTTTTGTGAGAACGGTGTTGAATTTTGTAGCTAGGTCTGCTGGGGAGGTTGCCTCAACGTATCGAGCAGTGCTTCCAGCGGCGGACTTAAGATCATTTGCTAAAGTCGTGGTTGGGGAAATACCTGAAGTTAGAGGTAGAACAATAAGAGACACTAGCTTTACTACCGCATAGAGGAGTATGCCTTGTATATGCTTGTTCATGTTTAATTTGTAGTCGTCAAATATTTGTATGCCATTTCATTCCATGAAAACCTTTTCCATTTACTTTTACCAGGGAATAGCATATCGTTGCTTCGTATATATATTTCGGGAATTTTCACTTATTTGTGTTAGAATTATTCCACTATCACTTGTTAATGATGCTTATGTGTACCAACTTATTCGCTACTCGAGAGCTTCTTGTAAGTACTTTTACTTTTAAGAAAGACATGCTTTTAACCGACTTTATGTGACTAAGATTTCAACAACTGTTAGAGTAGACATGTCGTACATTTTAAGGTCTTTACAATGACATTGTTAGCAAATATTGCCTATTTTGGCTTTTAACTGATATACATGTATTTCATACCAATTGTTAGGATTTGATTTTATACTGAATTGAATAGGAAAAAAATTCTATTTAAATTTTTAAAAGATTTTCTAAAATCAATTACTGATCTCTATCTTCACTTTTTAGATTATATGACAGTGCTACTGAGCTATCGGATAAATAAATGATGTTAAATGCAGGAGGAAAGTCTTACTACTGGGAATAATGTCAAAGAAACTCACAGGTGCTTGAGGACAGGACCCCACCCACCCCCAATATAGACCCCTGGGCCTGTTCGACTTTTTTCACAAAAATTATATATGGATGACACATTTGTGATAGAATCTATCCTATCAATTCAGAAAATTTGCTTAAACTTACATTTTATAAAAATATCTACCCTCTCTAGATTTTTATATAGAGAATGTAGGGTAGATTTAATAGAACGTTTGTTTTAGGTAATTTTTCGATTTGCTGGTACAGATCTTATCACAAATAAGGCAATGACAGATTTTTTATGAGAAATATTTAATGAAAAGAAGATATTTTTATAAATTGCATTTTTAAAAGGGCATAACTCTCACATGCAAATCAGGTATTTGAAAAATAATTAGAGACATTTCATTTGCATCGGCGGTTTAGAACTCTGTTCTCCCAATACATTTAAAAGACATTTTTTAAAGTGTATATCAACCAAATTTCTTCAAAAGTTTAATTCAAAACAGTGTCTCAGACTTTCTGCAGAACTGTGTATTTTGGTAAAAAGTCGTCTCCTCGTCACTTCCGTTCACTAAGCAAAAACGCTGACTGTAGCCTGACATCCTTTCGAAAACTTGGTCATAACCACTGTTAAAGTGCCTTAACCTTCATGACAGTTAGTGGTTAATGAAAAGAATATTCAATCTGCAATATGAGTTGTTGATTTTAGGACTTTGTTTAGATTTATGAGACGATTCAACCAAAATTCTCGGCAGTGCCTCTCAGTTTGCAGACGAAGTTGGCAACCTTGTTATATAGAGAGGGTAGATATTTTTATAAAATGTAAGTTTAAGCAAATTTTCTGAATTGGTAGGATAGATTCTATCACAAATGTGTCATCCATATATAATTTATGTGAAAATAGTCGAACAGGCCCGGGGGTCTATATTGGGGGGGGGGGGGTCCTGTCCTCAAGCACCTGTGGTTTATCATAAAGCTTTCTTGTAAGGTTACAATTAACGTTTTTTTTAAGTCAAATATCTAAATATGAAACAGATGTGTTAAAACTGTTGTGTATCTTTTTTAAATGTCGTCTTTCGGACCACAAGGTATGTTTTATGTATCAAATTTTGAACAAATTCAGCTTCATTTGAATGCAAAAATAGTTTTCCTAATAAATGTGACGCGGAGCAATTTGCTTCCCCTGTGATGTTTCAACAGGTTGTTTGAAGAACCGGTCTCCAAAAACCACATAGATACATGTATTGTCAAGAAGAAACTCAAGCATCTTTTTAATATCAAATTAAGAGTACTTTTGTGGATGCTTTTAAACCAAACAATTTTGCAAATGATCATTGACAGAATAAGAAAAATTTACGATTTTTTTTTAGTTAAAAGCAGCTGTCAGTGACGTCGGAAATCCAGGAGTATGATTTATCGTTAATAATGGTAGTCTATGAAGTTAAAAAATCGTAAGTTTTATTATTATAGATTCATTAACAATTTTGTGTGTTCAAATTTTCCGAATGTTCGTTGGAATTTTTGAGTATCTACATCTGATTTACATCACTTCTAGAACATCACTTCTCAAATATTTTGTTGCAGTTTTCCTGAAGTTTCTTTTCACTGCTGTTAATTTTTAAGTGAGGAGTAAATAAAAGAGAGTTGGAAGAACATTTACTTAATTCAGACATGTATCTTTGTAAGTATTTTTATGAAGTTTAGGATCCGATTAAGATATGTATGGTGATTCATTTTCTTTGGTTGACATAGGAGTTAAAAAGATGTCCTCCCTAGGAAGAGAATTTTGGGTACAATTTGGATTACCACGACTACACTTCAATAGCAGTTCCTCTAAAAACACAATTAATTTATAGAAATAATAAATCTTACAAACCACAGTCCTTTTGATCGCTTAAAAAATTATGTGTGTAAAAAAGATAAAGGTATGGAACTCTTACACTGGGTACCCAATTTCGCTAATAAAATATTTTCTAATCATATGCTCTAAAATTTTACTTTCTATTTAAATCTATTCATAGATAATCAATTTTCATTTCTACCGAAGCTCATTCCGAAATTCCAAATACTTCTCGTGATATTCTGATATCAATTCCAAAAATGACCTACTTTTTTTTACTCGACATTAGCTTGGGCTCTCGTCATTTACATGTAAACAGACGGTGTTTGAAGTGCAGGGAAGAGTTGCATAGTATTTTCAAAATCTTTCAACATTTTAAAGTTGATTTCTTACTCCGATTGTAAGGCTAAGTCCGTAGTAATTCCTTGCGCGAGAAATTAATTTGAAAGCGTCTATATCAACAACTGCGCCGCCATGTTGATTATGAATGTAAAAGAAGCTATGGTTGAATTTTTCCCGGAATGTATAATATACCTTTCGATTTTAAAAACAATTAGATCGAAAAAATGTTGTTGGTGACTTAGTAAGTTCATATGATCAAATTAGAGAAAATCTTGTAAAGCTCGAATGCAAATGAGCAAATATGCATCGAGTGTAGAGTAAAATCCAGGGAAAATTTGTCCCTTCGTTCCCGCTTAACAATTAGTGTAGCTCTTCAAAAGCCCAAACTGATGTCGAGTAAAAAAATAAGGTCAATTTTGGGATTTATTTCAGAATATCTCAAGAAGTATACGGAATTACGGAATGAACTTTGGTAGTAATGAAGATTGTTTATATATAATAAATAGATATGGATAGAAAGTAAAATTGTAAAGCATTTGATTTCAAAGAATTTTATTGGCGAAAGTAGGTACCCTATGAAAAGAGTTCCATACCTTTATTTTATTTTTACACGTCATTTTTTTTCTAAGCGATCTAAAGGCCTGTGTTACAAACAAAGAAAATATTCCTACCTGCTTTGTCAGATGGGACAATGTACTATAAACTGATCGTGTTATTCATACTAAATCTTTTTTTTTACTGCTAGATTATTGAAAGTAGAAGGATAGGTGGTTTTCATTTTGTCCTTATTTAGCTTGGAACGAGAGTTTAACATACACATGATACCTTAAAGTCATTTTGACAAAGTTTTAGAGTTTTCTTTTTTCATGCCAGGCCAATTTATAAATGAACATAATAGAACTTGATTTCCCAATTAAGATATTGCAAAAATACAAAGAGCTTACATTTGGATTAATGTATAACTTTAAACACTTTATTTACTTATCAGCAATGATGTCAACATAATATAGAAGAAGGCGTCAGACAATTTTTTGACTAAAATATGTGGTGTACAACAATTCATGTTAAACTTTAGAATAATAAAACTAAAAAACTACAAAATTATCAAGAGAAACATAAATTTTAATGTCTTACCAATTCCAAAAACCTGATTTTTTGCCACCTGTCGTATACTGGTTCCAATATCTGCACCGGGATGTGTAGGGCTTGATTTACCAACAATAACAAAATATTTATATGCTTGAAATCTGTTTCCATTTGACAATTTAACAAAATCGTAAAATGCAACACGTAATGCCTCAGCCAGGTCAGTTGTAGTAGAGGCGCTTGGTATTGTTAATGCCGTAATAGCGGTGTCCAATGATGCCGCTGTAGTATAAACGTTAAACTTGAAATTCTGGTCGATAGCATTATCATAGGATATCACCCCAACTTGTATATTAGTGGTTGAAATTTGCATAGTCCTCACTAAATCCCCAATAACCGATACTAATTCTGAATAAATAGAAGAGGTGTATGAGGAGGCCTCTATAATGAACAGGATGTCAATCTTGCAGGTTGAGACTGAAAAAGTGAACATGCATCTGAATTCTTGTAAAAAAACTCCATCCGTAAATCATATTAATTTAAATTAATTTAAGTAAGCATAAAAAGACACAAGGTAAATCCTAACCGGAACAGACAAGTGGGTATCCCGTCCAGAACTTTCCGTAACATCTACGTTGTGTGTTCCCAGCAACCTGTTTGTATCCTGAGTTACAGGCGTAAGTGCTGACTCCATTACAGCCTGTAGCACTTGTGGGAACGTTCACGTTACTATTTAGTTCATGAGTGCACGCAACATCTTGAGAAGGAAAAGAAATTTTAAAAAAAATGTAATACATTCAAGGTATTTTAACATAAAAGCAATCCGAATCAAAAATAGAAAATAAAAAGTCGAAAATGGTCTATAAATCAATAACTCGGGGCCTCTACAAGGTACATGTAGCTTTTAAGAAGAACGATTCTCTTTTTCAGAAATGTTCTTTGTTGTCTCGAGCTCTTTAGTTCTATGCACAAAAACTATATTTGAGGAACCTTCTTCTTTTATTTCAGACTTCAAACATATAATATGTTTGTTTGTATACTATATTAAGCATACAATGTTACACGAGGAATGATCCTCTATCAATTTCGATTAATAATACCATACTATATCCATTAATCTTAATAAAGATTATATTTGAGGAACATTCCTCTATAATTCAAATCAAACAAAGTCATACAACAATCATCAATCTACATTTAAAATTTAAAATATGAACACAACAATATACATGAATCCGAACCCATGAATTTGAGGAACGTTCCTCTCCTAACTGTTGAAACTGGTATCATAAGAGGAACGTCCCTCTCCTATTGTTGGCACTAGTTTCACAGAGTTCCTCTATTATTTGTTAACACATGCTCCATAAGAGGAACGTTCCTCTCCTATTTGTTGACATTGGCCTCATATATACGAGGAACGTTCCTCTCCTATTGTTGGAACTAGTTTCATAGAGGAACGTTCCTCTCTTTATTGGTCACACTGTCTTTATAGGAGGAACGTTCCTCCACTATTTGTTCCACTCATAACTATAAGGTCACAAAGTTTTCATACGAGAAACGTTCCCCTCCTACTTGCTTGCACCGACTTCATGGAGGGATATGGAGATAACGAACAGTATTCAATATCGAAGTCCATAAAACAATAGAAAACAGGAGCAGAGCAAACACAGACCTCCGATCGGTTACACCCGCCGTGTGCTCCTTGTCATAATCGGGAAATGACGAAAAAATCCGTCGTCAATTCAGTGTATAAATAATGGACAAACAATTAGTATGAAAATGTCAGTCAGCATTTGACTTAATGATAGATTGTATTTGCTGACAAGGTCAGTGTATCAACCATAGAACTTACGAAATAATGACTTTAAACGAGACTGCTGATATTCTTGTTTCATCAACTTGCTTGTCAATAATTTACCTCGTTTTAGAAATTGTTCATACGTAGAGCATGCTCTTGCATATAAGAAGAACTATAAAAAACGGATTGGCTAAAAATAGATCCTGGTCACAATTAGTGCCCTTTTTAACAGTTGTACACCCGAACATTCAAAAAATACTGTCAATAAGGAAATATAGAGAAATACATAAAAAAGATAGTAATAAATTTGTTTACAAACCGTTTAAAAATCTCCATTCACCGCTTGAGCCCCAACCTGTCTTTATGAAGATATATTTAGCATCAAAAGGAGTGGAACGTGTACAACTCAAGATTATGTTGCTGCCGACTGTACCGCCCTTGCCTGCTCGGATATAATTCCCTTCCCAAGAAATCCAGAAACTGTCGAAGAAGGTTTGATCCAAAACAGATTGGGAATATGAAGCACATTCTGTACCTCCTATGACATACCTGATGACAGACATGGTATTTGCCCATCCCCCAAAAATGATTTCATAATGTGTACCACAGTTATCACAATCGTCGGTACCGATGGCAATGTGTATGTCATTGTTTGCTCTGGCTCTGAAGGTTAGAGATGTCCTCCCTTTGGCTAGTATACAACTGGATGTCAGACTGACATAAGTTCTGTCGTCTGGTGTATTTTTGCTGATTTCAGTGGATGCTATTAATAGTAAATAATATAAAACTCTTAAAATAATCTGAGTAAAAATTCATCCTTACATTCATTTCAACATGGAAGCTGGATATAAAATCTTTAATTGGGTGCAGATATTCTTAAAGCTTAACTTAAATTATATGAGAAGTATCAATATGGATTATATTTGGTAATTTTCGCTTCTTTGATTTCAGTCCGGTAGTACAATTGCTACAAGTTCTTTTTATATATTTCGTCGTACATGTACGTCGTGTGTGAACAGTTTAACATTCTCAATTTTTTCTATGAAACAACTGAATCAATTTCCACCAAATTGGCAAAAAGCATCTATGACTGAACAGTGGTGAAGGGAATTAAAATCATAAAATATGAAAATCATGGACCCCCAGGGGCATGAGGGGTGGGTCTGAAATAAACCATTGAAATGAATGCAATCTTTCAAAATCTTCTTCTTTAAGCACTCAAACTGTTTGCATGATTGTAGTCAGCATTACGCCCGAAATTGTGATATCCATGTCCCCAGAATTAGGCGTTCTAGTGTAAGGACGGGACTCTAATGTTTATGTATTAAAAGTGCATAATATGTTTGAATTTGTTTGTCTCTGCGTACGGTTATTAAAGCAATGAACTATGTCCATAGTTATGACGAGAAAGGATGCCTCTTTTGAAAATTATGAGTTATTTTAGGGTGAGTCTCTAATGCTTAAATAGTGAAATAAATAAATTGTTTTAAAATCTTCTCTGCTTTTGGGTATGATGAAGAAGGACGCCTCCTCAAAAATTGGGAATCTCAACCCCTAGATCAGGGACCCACAAACAATGTTCATAGTTATAATAAGGAAATATGCCTCCTTTGAAACTTGTGAATTTCATTGTCCATGGGTCAGTGGATATGGTGTTAGGGCTGGGTTCTGATTATATAGTAAAACTGCATTGATTCTTTGAAAACCTTTTCAACTGCTCTTGGGTATTGAAGCAATGAACTTTGAATATAGTTACGATGACGAAGGACGCCCCCTCCAAAATGATGGACCCCTGGGTCTGGGATTCTGGTGTTAGGACGGGGATATAGTGAAAATGAATAAGTTGGTTTAAATTCGATTTTTTCTCCACTGTTCCTGGGTATTAAACAAATAAACTATGTAACTATATAGTTATGATGGAGAAGAAGGCCTCTTTCAAAATTGAAAATTTTATTACCCCTGGGTCAGGGGTTTTGGTCTGGTTCTAGGACGGGGCTCTAATGATATATAGTGAAATTGCATTACTATTTTGAAAATCTTCTCTGCTCCTTGGTACTATACTGATGATCTAAGTAATCTGTTTTAATGATTATATACTGAAATGAATTAATGATTTGAAACCTGCCCCTTTTCCAAAATTGTGAAATTTGTGGCCACCGGGTTAGGGGTCCTATGGGATGGGGGCATACCTGATAATTGCTGAAATGTAAATTTTTACTCACATGTGCATCCGTCTAGGAGACAAGGTACAGTTTGTGTAGGAGTAGTCCCCCAGCAGCTCCCTACAGGCCTTAGACACTGCCTTCTCCTCAGTAAGGTTTGTGTAATGCATTCAACTGGACATGACGACCATGACTGCCAATTTCCCCAAATCGCTAAAAAAATATCATAAATAATATCATATGACGATATCGAGAATTAATAAGCAAATTCAGAAAATATTGGTTCTCTGCATCTTTTTAGTTTGGGCGCAAGTTCATGTATTTATGGCATATTATTTTTGTCTGACGGTCTTGTCTGTATATTATACTTTCTGAAAATGCAATATATCCTGTTGCAACTCTAAATACTCGTCTAAGTTAAAGTTTTCTTTCAAGGTTTTCAACATGAGGTAAAAAATCATTATACACATACATGTATACATTAAGAAAGGCCTCTTTAAGTAATGGATATACAAAAAATATAAAAATCCTGACTTTCTCAGTTTATGGTGCAAAAGTAAAGGTCAAATGAAAATTTTTGAAAAGTGTATCAAGATAATGGATGGAAAAAATAGACAGAACGATCATTTTCCCCATCTCAGGGTTTGTGGTCTGCTACCCATTGACTGTGCTGCTACCTAAAGTGATTCTTTACGCAAAATGATTTCCAATTTTTACCAGATATTCACATGTTTTATCATCTACAGATAATTATTTAGCGGCCGCAAATTATGTATGTGACGACAGCCAGATAAATTTCCTATCTGGCACTTACCGGTTTCCGTTAGGAATGTATCATAAATCACAGAATATATGAGGGATATATACATGTTAGGGAAGCGTATTAGTGCCACTTGAACACTTCATTCTTTTTTTATTTCTACACTTTAATCTGTAAATTTTACACTTTAAAGTGCAAATTTTACACATAAAAGTGTAAATTTACACTTTAATCTGTAAATTGTACACTTTTATCTGTAAAATTTACACTTTAATCTGTAACATTTACACTTTAATCTGTAAATTTTACACTTTAATCTGTAAAATTTAAAGTGTAAATTTTACAGATTAAAGTGTTTACAAATGTTACAGTTTAAAATGAAAATTTCACAGATGAAAGTGTAAAATTTACAGATTAAAGTGTAAATTTACACTTTGAAGTGTAAAATTTACAAATTAAAGTGTAGAATTTTTTTTAAAAAATAAGGTGTTAAACTGACACTTATACGCTTCCGTAACATGTACCTAAGTCTGAGTTTGGCACCTTGTGACTAGCCCAAAGTTTTCTGTGATAGCGAATACATGTAACATAGGTTGTTCAATCTTCTTCTGATCTACAGCATTCAGTATGCAGCGTAAATTACCCTGGATTACTCTTGATAGATTCATTGATTGTATGTTTAACGTTCCTCTTTAGAAATTTTCACTCATATCGAGGCGCCACCATTTGCCGGTGGCAAGCTAACCACGTCGCCTTACACTCGGCACTCAAGGCAATTGAACAAGGAGGGGTCTTTTTCGTGCCAGCACTTACTGCAACACAAGACCTCGGTTTATACATCTGATTTTACACCACTTACAAGCCCATTTCGACTTTGTCAATAGACCAAGAATTGTTATACAATTTTCAAAAAAACAATCTACAGCATACTCAGTAATCCATGACTTGTATGTTAAATCATGAATGGTGCCGATGATTTTACATTCACACAGACATCTCAGCGCACATCACAGGTAACAATCTAAACCCATTGATTGAAAGAGTGCACCAGTTGTCAATGTCAGAAAAATAAACACACGGGGAAACATGTACAGAACTCGTGCAAATGATTACAAACTCTGATTTTCGTGAAAGGTTATGAAGAAATACGCTGATACACGTTAACATAAATATGGAGACAATGAAGAGGAATCAGGCTGAAAAAAACCCATTGTAACAATACATATCCTGAACAGAGCACATGACCTCCAGAGGGATCAGGTACTAGGGCGGAATAAGATTTCTCTGTCAACAGGTCACACCCGCCATGAGCTCATCGGTATGATCGGGAAAACGGTAAAATCGATAGAAAATTAATTCAATGTATAATTTTAAATTATCTGAAAATATGTTTTTAAAAGAGTCAGCACTCGGCTTTATGATATATTGCCAATGTTTACATGTACAATTCGTTTACAATTTAGAGCATTTGTTTTGCTTTCTGTTTTGTGATAACTTGCTTTACAAATTTAAAGGTTGTCCTTTACCTTGGAGTACTCGCACCGTGATCGAAAGCCGCAAAAGTTTTCTGGAAGAATCACGACCACGAAGATACAAGTCGATAAAAAAATAAGTACAATCGGTACCAACTCTTCCTTCGCAAAGCGCTCGGCGCTTTGATGTGAAAGTTACGGGACCGAGGCCCCATATCACAGTACGCATTGGCACGATAAAGAATTCTCACTGCTCGGTGACCTTCAGCGCCAAGTAAGGGTCTTATAGTTTTTAGAACATAACCTACTTATTCAGCCAATCAAATGCTTCCATTTCTCGCGAAGAATTGATTCTTCATGGTGAAGAATTCTTCTATTTATGAAAAATTCAACGTTATCTGATTGGTTCACTTGACAGTTATATGGGTGTGTCTTCATTGGTCTTTGTTCAGCACACAAAAAGAAACTATTCAAAACCCACGTGCTGTTTTCAATGATATTTAAACTTTCTAGGCCTTGCTACACTTTTTTTCCCACTGTAATCTTTTGTCGCCTTTTTGAATATTATTTTTTTCACATTTTGGTACATTCATAATATACAACCATCGTCATGTATATCAGAGACGAACCTTGTCTTTGAAGACAGATTTAATCACAATTTTTATCTAATTTTTATTTGATATTAGACAGCGATACACTCCTGCTGACTAGGGCCTTGTCATCTTAACACAATCATTTTTTTTAAATATAGATATTTCGATTCTTGTTACATGGGTATTCATTAGTTCAGTAACTTAAATATTTTCACCATACCATTTCCCCCAGAAAATCAAGCTATTTCATTTAATCCCGTGCTAACCTGAATGGGTTTGGAGTCAATTCTAAAACCGCGTGTGTTCGATATTGGTTGCGTGCTCGATATGAACAACGATCGGTCAAGTTGAGCCTTATATATGACACAGTCGTGGGAGGAGTTTATATTTTAATCCATTCATTTGATTGGCTGAGGTTCTGTTCTAAGTCAGTAAGATCATATGAAGAGAAATCTTCGTCACGAAGAATGGGCTCCGCTTCGCTCCGCCCATTCTTCATGACAAAGATTTCTCTTCATATGATCTTACTATTACGAAGCCAATTTCCGATGTATGGTGACGACTCTATATCACCCCTTCTATAGTTATTGTGATTTAAATTCAAGGCACGTGGTTTTGGTTTATCTATTCAAAGGTTATATGTAGGATAGGACCGGTTTTATAAATAAAATTGGCAGTCAACAGGAAATTGCTATAGTCTTTTTCTTTTGAAAACATGTCATGTGAGAAATGTGTTTCCAGACCTTTCTGAAAGACTTTCATGATTTTCAACAGAAAAGGTCGGCTAAAGGAGGGGGGGGGGTGTAAATAACAATATACCTTATCATAGTTTACGGCAAAATTAGAGCTCACTAGCGAACGATACGCTGGTAAAAAAATAATGTGTACTTATATGGCTATTGTTATTAATGCGCACAGAGGATCTAACCACGAGCAGCTAACCAATTGTTGATTGAATACGTTTACGCCAATACATGTGTACTTTTTACTTCGAACACGTGGTTCAGGTCAATCTATGATCATGTGAATGGATTGCAAAATAAAAAAATGTTCTTATGAACAAAATGCACAGATTAGAAACTATGAAAGATGTCACGGGCTTTTTAATTTGTTGTTAACGAGAAAAAATATGTTTAACAAAATGTATACGTAGTTAGTGTCAAGTTCAGAACACCAGCACTTCAAGGGTAAGGAAAACGAGCAGCTTCTCGTATGTATGTAAATAGACAAAACATTTTTTACATAACTATACTCGTACCACGTGTTTAAGCCAGGAAATCCACCTGACAATTCTATTCACCGATAGTACAATAAAAGAATTTATCAAGCGTAAAATTCCTGTAGTATTCGTAGTAACTCATAATGCAATTCTTATTCAGCTGATTTGTCATTTAATGTCACATTGGTGCCTCATTTGCTAATCTGACGCCAAAAAATATAGTCCCGGTTTCAATGCAAAAATATTTGTCCAAAAAGAAATTTCAATTCATGACTGCAGCAAATTGTATCATAGAGAATACTTATAATTTAAATTTGAATAACTTCAAGAGAGATCGATTGAAGTGCATTTCTACAGAATGATATTATAGGATGGTGAAAACTAAAACGCAACTTAACTTTTCTGTTTACCATGTCTCCACGTGCTAGTCACTTCCTAGCCACATTTCCGTGAATAATTTACCCTATCTCGCTGTATTCTCGCTATCTCTCTCCAGAGCCACTGCCAGAGCTACTCTGAACTCATCGGGTTTTATAATTTGCAGAACACCGAAAAATAAAAGGTTCCGAACACATTAGTGGGGTGTATATGAGTGAAAAAATGTGAAACAGGACGTAAGACAATACACTGAACCAAACTTCTAAGCGTTCACCTAACATTTTTTAATTTTAAAGAACAAATGCATACGATAAATATTACTTTCATTCATGATTAATAGTATATATTTTAGTTCGATGTTGCGTAAATTTCATGTAAGTATCTCGTCAAAATTTTAAGCAAAGTGTCAAGCACATGATGTACCCTAAAAATGAAAATTCACATAAAATAATCTCCATGTCAGACGTAAGACCACCACTCGCTCTAATATTTGCAAGACATCCAGGCTCCTTTTCGCATGGATGCCATGTACCACTGAATCGGCAATTGGCCATCTATTGCCACACCTACTGGATAGTTCGAAACCGTTGAAATTGTGTAGAGTGGTGGGTGTGACATTCCTTAATAAGTTCCGAAATGTGTTCAATGGGATTCAGATCCGGGAATATGGCAGTGCATTATCACACATATGCCTTTTGGTCAATATCCATGGACGTTTACCATGTACGTGTACGGCTTTAAGGATGATTCAGACTGTTCTGTTTGAGATGATATTAGACTGCCACGAGCACCGATACCTGATCATTTTCTTACCATTGAATATGTTTGTTTTAATGTTTTTAAAATGATTTCAGAAAGGACAATGTAATAATCTTTTAACCTGGTTGTGACGCAAAATATTGGCCTCAGGCGAATTAAGATCCAGATCACGTCCGGTTTGATTAAACTTTACCCAAAGCTTTCAAATTGTGACAAAATGGCAAAGATGTCAATTTTTATGCGCCCGGATCGAAAGATGCGAGGCGCATATTTTTTTGTTCTGTCTGTTTGTCTGCAAACATTAACCTTCGCCATAACTTTTGAATCATGAATGATAGAGACTTCATATTTGGTATGCCTACTCCACTAATGAAGCTCCTTCTAATGACACCAAGGTCAATGACCTTGTGACCTTGACTGGGACCTATATGCTAAAAATAGAGGGTTTTTTGCAAACTTTAACCTTTGCCATAACTTTTGAACCATAAAAAAAGACTTCATATTTGGTATACATACAACACTTATTAAAGTTTTTTAAAAGACACTAAGGTCAATGACCTTGTGACCTTGACTGTGGCCTATGCGCTAAATATAGCTTTTTTTGACGGCAAACTTTAACCTTTGCCATAACGTTTGAACGAAGAAAGATAGAGACTTAATATTTGGCATGCATACTCCACTAATAAAGCCCTTTCACATGACACCAAGGTCAATGATCTTGTGACCTTGACTGTGTCTTATATGCTAAAAATAGCTTTTTTGAACCTTCACCATAACTTTTGAACCATGAAAGATAAAGACTTTATATTTGGTATGCAAAAAGATAGAGACTTCATATTTGGTATGCATACTTCACTAATCAAGATTTTTCAAATGACACCAAGATCAATGACTTTGTGCCCTTCACTGTGACCTTTATGCTAGAAATATGTTTTTTTTAAATTTGTTGCCACCGGGCGCATAGTGTTTCACAAACAGATCTTGTTAAAAGTAATATCAAAGACAAATAAACACTAAAATAAAAGTGCGTTAAACGTGGCGCAAGGATAATCCAGATATCAACATTTCACGGTTCTCCCTCTTTTTTTCGATGACTATTTTTCCAATTTTTATGGATTTTTTTTTTCTGTTAAAATAGTTTTTAAAAATTGATGATTGGCACAAAAAGATGCTTATTACACAAAGCACGTGCCACAGAGTACAGATTTGTTGTTTTTAAGCTTTGTCACGGGACGTTGGTTTTCATTGGTGATGATTGATTTTCTTTCAGCAATTGTTGAGGAGACTCATTGGTTATAATAATTTGAAAATATGGTACCATTCTATCATGTAGCTTTGAAATAAATACATTAATTATAGTGAACACTTAAAAGTTTTGTTAAGTGTATACATATACAATCAAACTACATTTAGTAAGTACTTACATGAGCAGCTGTAGGAATATATCAGTGTTTTACCACACCCTGAGCATGGGTCTCCACCAAGCCAGGTGTTGCTGGCTTGTATCGTACAGGAGGTGCCGTACCCGCACTGAGAGTTCATTCTGGAGGTCACAGACGCGCTACCAGAACAGGAATCACAAGACCAAGTCCCCGAGAAGGCGATGTATTGACTCGAAGAGCATGCCCTGGTCGTTGAAGATCCTTCAGACAGTGAATAGCAATCTGAAATGTAATTAGACGCAATGCTGGCATACAAAATCAATCTTAGACATGTGGTTCTTTATGTTTTGCTCACTTTATCTGAAACCCAAAGTTAGTTTTTCTGATCACGTTTTGTCTGGTGTAGCGTTGAATATTGACCTGAGTTGGAAATTGACCCAGGGTTCATTATTCAAAGTTGAATATCGAACCGGGGTGTTTTTTCTCTGTTGAGAATTGAGACCAAAAGTCGTTGAATTTATACCCGGGGTCATTTTTCAACAGCTTGATAATTTTTTTCCTTATCCCTGATGACCTCAACAAGTTGAAAATTGACCCTGTTGAATATTGACTCCACCTCAGAGTTTGAACATTTTTTGAACTGGGAAGTTGTTTTACGGGATTTATCAGTATCTCTATATTTATATTTCGGTTTCAATTTTTTTCACTTTTCAAGATTAATAGAAATAAACCTATCATCCCGTATATGTACATTTTGATCAGTACACATTTCAGTTATCTTCAAGCATGACAACTTTATTTTTTGACAATACTTTCTAAAATCCATAGCATCCATAAATAACTACAAAACTATGAATAGGGCATAAAACAAAAATCCTGGAAATCTGGTGTCTAAAAAGTGGGCCCCTACATGTATATAATATATTGATCAGGTGGGCAGAACATCCCATCTAGTCCAATTCAGTATGAAAATTAACAAAATTAATATCCTAAACATTAGAATGAAATACATCGGCCGAAATGAATCAAATGATAGGTTGTATTTGTGAAAAAGATCAGTATAGCGACCATAGCATGCTCAGGAGATGCTGTTCGGTTTCCTTACCCTTGAAGCTCTGGCGTTCTGAACTTGAATCAAACTACATTTTATTATACATATTTTATAGTTAAAAACAAATCAAAAACGCCGGTGACATCTTTCATAGTTTCTAATCTTTGCATTTGTTCATATAAATATTTTTGCAGCACATTTAATTAATATCGATCATAGATTGACCTGAACCACGTGTTCGAAGTAAAATAAAAACATATACAGTTAGCGTAAATGTTGCTATAAAAACATATATAGTTAGCGTAAACGTTGCTATTCATTCAACGATTGGTCAGTTGGTGCGTGGTAAGTTCTGCCGTGCGCATTGATAACAATAGCCATATAAGGCATACACAGGTTTGTCATTGTAGATGATAATTGGCTTTATCCAACGAGTTGGAATGGAGTATATTCGCGAGACTTGCCGAGCGAATATATATACACCATTTTAACGAGTTGGATAAAGTCAATATCAAATCACACAATATAGATATCCTGTATTTATCTCATACGGTTTTTGTTTAGTTTTTTTTTTTTTTAACTTTGAGATAACCCCTATGAAACTATATGAATGATTTTGATTTCTATTCAAACTGATAACGTATAACTGATGACGTCGCACTGTTGATGTTGACATGGCGAAAAGAACATCATGTGAAATATTTAAAGGTCTTTTAAGTGTGATAATTAGTTGTTATTTCAAACAAAGTTTTGACTGAAATTGTGGTGACCGAGGGATCATGAATTCTATTCTAATGTCATTCTTTGAACGGTGGAAGTGCAAACGGTGATAGGCTAAAGTAGTCGTACATTGTAGATCCGGATCCATGTTACATGTAAGTTACATATACATTACTTTATGGCATACAAAATATACTGTAAGAAAACATTTTTGAAAGTGCCAAAGGAATTTTTCACTAACACTTAAGTGCTAGGCTCTAAGTTTCTCTAAAAATGTCTGGGGAGGGGGGTATAACATGAATCCGTCTTTACAGTAACAGGTACGGATTTTGTCTTTAGACTTCTTTGAAGTAAACGAGTCTTTTTTCTGCTTTAAAACAAAATTATTGCTTATTATGATCTATTTATAAGGCAAGGGTTTTTACAAATCAAATTTTTGATAAATTTAATTCTTGTAACGACGCGGAGGGATCGTGTCAAAACCGGAAGTGCTATTGATAAAGCACCTAGCCGTGGATAAAACATAGGTTTATCTCACGGGTAATATCATCCATATGAGATAAAAGAGGAATATCTCATTTGAATTCATCATTTCCCAAGATCTATGGTTGATACAATGACCTTAATAGAAATACAATTTTCAGAATTTACGATTATATACCTATCATGACAAAGTGAAAAGTCGGCTGGGGATGCTCATTCCTTCGTGGCACCTGATCCGACTTCTAATGGTTTGCTTTGTTACTGTTTTTTACTGAATTGGGGCTTGAGTTATTATGATATGAACTATCGAATGATTTTCTATATCTCCATATTTCACACCAATCGTGTTATCTGTCTTATTCTTTTTCACTTTTGATTTATTGGAAATAGAAAGATAGGTTTTATATTGACTCTCAATTGCCAAAAGCGAGATTTAATCATTCTGATACTTTAAGATCTAAGGTCTTTCTTATATATTAATGATAAATTAATTATAATAATGAAATTATGAAAGCCGATTAATTGAAAGATCAGGATTCCCTACAGTTTGTCCCTTATAAAATAAATCTTTTTATAATATGATTAAAGGTCCTCATCACTGTTTAATTTCCGTAACCAATAATGACATGTCCAGCAGGGCTATAGCTGTAATATGGCGAAAAACATTAAAACGCTGGAGGATTGTTGTTTAATATAAAGGCACTGTGGCGTGTTTTGTACTTTTGGTACTCAGCAGGAGTCCATAATTCTGTTTGTCTTAAATAGTATTTTTCATGAATTCATGAGTGAAAAACCAATCGCAAGATTTGGTGCCGCTTACAGTCCTTTTAAAATCCCGCTATACACTGCACACTAAAGAGTTCCAATTCCATTGTATTTTTCTTTTGTTTTTATAACTTTTAGAGTTATCTGCCCTAGGTCTAAAATGAATTTATTTAAAAACTATTATTGATCACGCCTCGTAAATACGCACATGCATTTTTCGATATTATTATCCACGATATTAACACCGCGTATACTCTTCGCATTCGTTACACTCGCCTGCTTTATTTTCAAGGGTTTCGGCGTGGAATGGCAACGCGTTTTGCGCTGGTTATCTTGCATTACCTTTGTTTACATTTAATTGCAGTTTCGTTTGTCTGTGTTTATTTATATATTGCACTGACATGTACAATTTAATATTGTAAGTTTCTTTGGTATCTAACTTTTCTGCATAAGAGAAAGTTTTACAGTTAATTTTGTCGATACCGAGTGCTGTATAACACCGGTGTCGACTTATTACTCTGAAAGTGACTAAGTTAGACCCTTTATATACGGGTCCTCAAATATAGCGAGAGTCCGATCGAAAATGGCGGACACATTTTCTTAACGACTCATGTTCAGTTTAAATATTGTATAATCATCTGAAAAGCTTTTAATTGTTATATGTGGAGAAAATTTAATCAAAAGCGTGCCTGGTAATATTCTCAAAATTATATATATATTAAATATACTGTCCTTTAAATTAGGAATGACTTCTAAATTCATCCCCCAAGAATATTAAAAGCAAGAATAGATTTAGACCAGCTTCACTTCTGAGTGGGAGAGTTTATGAACCATTTCAGAAGAAACAATTATAATTACAGAATATTAAACAAAATAAATTAGTATAAAACTGACGCTTTTGCCATGGATTTTTCAGGGAAGTTTATATAAATATTTTTAATATTTATACTTACAAACTTCTTGAATATGGATAAAAATGTAGAAAAGCACGGGAAAAATAAATTTACTCCTCATTTTGAAAGTGTTCTAAAATATTTATATACACAAAATCAAAACAAATGTTTCAATCATTATGGTGATTTGCTAAAATATAATTGACCAAAATCAATCAATCCATGTCATTTTTGTTACGTGTTTTTAAAATTTCTTTAGGGGTAAAATGTGTGACAATCATTATTTTTTGCTTGATTCAATACAAGAGAACAAAATAGTTTTCAAATTCGTTAGATTTTGAAGGACAGAAAACCATGACTTAGCTTACGTCGTACTATTGGTTTTAAATAAGACATTTAAATTTCATAAACACCCTACGAACTAATTAAAATAATTATGCTTCTTGAATACATTTATCAACAAATAAATCTATCTTACTATTTATTTATGTCCTTGTATAATATGTAAAGCGGAAGGTCAAAAAAAAGAAGAAATTTCCAGAAGATTCGAAGAAATGAAAATCACGACAAACATCAGAAAAAAAACTAAGACATTAACGTTGTTGTGATATTACAGTGCAGAGAACTAATTTTGTTACAGCATCGATGCTAATTTGAATGCTTCCTTTACTCGCTTAATTGAATGCTTCTTTTAGTTGCTGATTTAATGCTAATAATCCTTTATCTTGATGCTTTTTCATGATAAGGTTTATGCATTTATTTGACAAAATTAGTTTCCTGCACTATAAATGTACCTCTATGTTTTTATTTATATATTTCTACTAGGTAACAATTAGCTAGTTAAATGATAAAACCGTATATTTGTATACAGTTTTTTTGTGTTAATCCCATATTAGGGTGCTAACATATGAAATGAAACGGCACATCCTAAATAGCTTTTATATATTATCCCTTTGTGAAAAGTACTGCTATCCTTGAAAATGAATTTCAAAATGTATTATTTTTTCTCTTTATTAGATCAGGTGACCCGCAAAAAAATCAGCATGGGTTCTAAAATTATTTATTTAATTATTAAGTTAAAAGGTAAAGAAAATGAACAGAGATTGTTTTTAAAGATACTATAAACATAACCAATCTTTAAAGAGGGCATGATGGATACTGGAAATTCCAGAGTAGGGATCAGATGCCTAGCAGAAGTAAGCATCCCCTGTCGATCGTTCACACTCACCGGGAGACCTATGTATTGTTCAAGTAGACGCACAGAACATTCGAATTCCGAGATCAGCATAAAAACAAAGGCAAAATAATTGTTATAGTTCAAGTGAGGTTATCTAAGGC